TTAACAAATTCATATTGTAATGAATTACTACTGCTATTCATCAAAAGTTATCTTCACTTCTTTCCTTGTAAATAGCTTCTTGTCATTTGTCGAATGCTGTTTTTTCCAGATAATAATAATGATAATAATGATAATAATGATGATATTAATACTAATACTAATACTACTACTACAAATGATAATAATAATAATAATAATAATAATAATAATAATAATAATGGAGTTGAGTGCAGTGACAAATGGTATGAGCATTCCCCCAAAAGCGTAGAAGAGAATGAGGAGGTTAAATCCAAACAGATCGTGAAATCCATCACAGGAGGCCAGACATTGTAATTCAGAAAAAGAAGGCAAAGGAAACAATCATTGTGGACATAGCTGTTCCCGGAGATAGTAATATTCTGCAGAAAGAAACTGAAAAGTGTGAAAGACCTGGTAAGAGAGATTCAAAGGATCTGGAAATCAAAAGTGGTGCCAGTGGTTGTAGGTGTATTGGGTTCAGTGTCAAAGAAGCTGGCAGGCCACTTGGAGCAACTAGGAATTAAAAACTGAACAAGAACGATGCAAAAGTCGGCACTCCTCGGATCGGCACATATCCTCAGAAAGGTGCTGGAAGTCTGAGGTCTCGGGATGGGACTTGACTGGATATTTCTCCCCAGGGAAAATCCCTGTGCTAAATTTTACATAATAATAATAATGAATCTACACCGAGATATGGGTAAACTGGAGGCCAATGAAACGAATGTGGTTGAGAATTGTGTTTATCAAAATCAAATAAAAGACCCAAATGCCTCTTTGGAAAGAGTCGAATGTCAAGAAAAATCCGAAATAAAGAACCTTATCCTGCGAAAATGGGAAATCGTAAGGGAACTACCCATTTGCGAAAGACCACCAAAATCAGAAATCTTAAATAGCCAATTTTCAAGCTAAAGTGTGTTTACCAAGGAGGACCGTGAAAACAATCCCATAATGGGCTCTGGTCCTAAACCTGGCCTGGGACCATTAATTATTTCGGAACATGGAGTCTTAAAACAGCTGTCTTCATTAAGCCCTAACAAGGCCTCTGACCCAGACCAGATTCCACTCTGGTTTCTCAAAGATTATGCCGCAGAAATTGCTCCAACACTAACAGACATCTTTCAAGACTCAATAGACAGTGGCACTGTCCCCCCTCAGGCGGAAAGGGGCTAATGTGTGTGCAGTTTTTTTAAAAAGGGAAAGAAATCTGACCCAGCCAACTATTTAACAATTATTCCTCGAGCCCGAATGGGCTCTGAGTCAATAGACCATGAGGCCGAAGGCCGAATGGACTATTGACAAAGTGTAATCATCAGTCAGGCTTTTTGCCGACGATGCCCTACTTTACCGCATTGTCGCAATCGACGCGGACTGGGACCTTCTTCAATCTAACCTAGGCTAGAATCTGGGCAGTATCATTGGGAAATGATTCTCATGATTCATGAAAGTAGTAAAGGGGGTTGATATGGCAAGTAACCAATCACAGAGCAGTATTCTTTTGTTTAAGTTTTAGAGAACAATTGGAACAATGGAGCTCATTCGTATTCAGTACTTTGAACCACTCGCAGAGCAGCATTAGAAATACCCCCTTCATGTAATAGTCAGCAAAAGCATCTGTTATAATTTTCGTGCCATATTCAACTTCGCGCTAAAAGATCAGGGGCACCCAACGACAATTTTCGGAAAATATGTGTTCGGAAGACGATTTGCGATCTAGAATTTTCGGAACATTTGTTGTAAAATTTTTTGCTTGCCTGCCTCTCCTAGGATTTTCGAACATCTAAAAAATGGCATAATTGCCCATTTCTAACGGATTTTTACTCTTAAAAGGTCACCTAGAATTTTCGTGAACCTTTTTTGTGGCTGAAATTTTCGAAAAGGTAAGTTTTGATCCCTATAATTTTCGGATCACTAGACTTTCAGCTAGGAAATCCGAACAGATGAAAAATTTCTAGGGGATAAAAATATGCCTATATCTACCGTTTAAATACTAAAATACGTTTAACAATGCTATGTTTAAGTGGTTTTGAACTATCTTCTCGTTGGGTGCCCCTGAAAGATGTTTTATTATGCAAGAAAATGGCTCCCTTTGCCATGAACGCATCAAATATTGAACGATTTGCTGCCTTAACAACACAAAGGCAGAAAGACCTCTTTGAAGTAAACAAGAACTTAACCGAACCGAATGGTTTTGGCATTTACGGCGATTGGAAAAAAAAGCAAGATAAACGAGTGTTGTTTGCACGCGATGGTATGCCGTACAAAGAATTTTACAAGGTCCAGAAACGGACCCGATTTTGCAGGGGCAAAGAAATTTACACAACACAGTATTTCATCGCAATTATTTTATTCACCTCAAAGAGTATATCATTGTACACAAGAAATAATAATAATGACTAAACAAATGGCTAATGGTTACATCATCACTTAATGTGTAGTCTACCAAATTGTCTCTGTAAGTTAGGTCTTGTTCGTAGGTAGGTCCTTTTTCAGATGATACAAATAACACACTTTGTTGTAATCTTTGCTTCGACAAATCGTTCATTTCCAATAAGGCATCAGGATAATCGTAGATATTGCGTACACCAATAATGACAGTTCTGCAGATCAACGTGGGGTTCATAATCTGTTCCTCCGTCATTTCCTCACACCATACTTTTTGAAATGCAATCCGTTGTAGCCATACTTGTCTTTGGACAAACACGCTGCGGGTTGATTATGCAAAAATCTTCAACTTAAGACCAGGTATTGTGTAAAAAAAATGCAATTAAGAATTAGCCGTTTAGCTTTTGTCTTTTTTTAAAAATGAGCGATTAAGACATTGAGTTCTCTCTTCGAAAAAAGTCAAGGAATGTTGTTTCACAATCATCTAGAACATGTTGTATTTCTTTGCAAAATTGTAATTCTCTGTCTATCGACAAACCTATGAAATACCTGTGGCAAAAACAACAAGACGATTCAGAAGAAGAGGGCTCTTTTAACCCTGATTGGATAGTGAACAATCTATTATGTGTTCAACAGACAAACGCGCTCTCCGTTCAATCATGATTTCATTCTTTAAAGTTCAGTTTGCTCGGAAAAAAGTCTTAACTCTCAACAATATTCTTTGGAACATTGTCCAGGGTCAAAGGATAGCCAGTTTTATTGGACATGTATTCTAACTGACTTATGCGGCTTTGGTTGACAAACTCATCCAACAAGAAAAGCTGAATCACTGCGACGGTTGTGCTATTCAACACCCAAGTCAAAACCAACATTCTTGCCTCATGATGGATAATGATGACGCATGGAAGTATTACCACGATGAAGTGGTGGAACAAATTGACCTGAATTGTATGTTGAACGCTACCGAAAGTATATGCAGTGCTCTCGGCTTCAAACTAGATAAATCATGGGAAGCGTACTGCCAAATATTGTCGTGGGCCAGTATTTACCTCGCTTCTCTGGAACTTGATGTTGTCCAGCAGGGTGATGATCTTCAAAGCCGTATTTTATACGCTCTATACTACCGACCAAGGATTTCAGTGATCAACAAGAAACAATAGAATGCCTTGATAGAGTCGTGAGAAAAGAAGAACACCAATGGACCTTGACATGATAATTAATGACATTCAAAATAAGCTTTGTTTCTAAAAGTAATAAAATTTCTTCATGATGACTAAAATTTTGAGTCGGTGTGTGTTTGTCTCTGTCATTGTCAAGATGGGGCTTTCTCTGTCTTTGCTTCGGGTCGACTTTTCTCTGCATCGCATTGTATATAAAGAGTTTTCCTTTATGTGTAAAAAAATGTCATTTGTTCATAGTTTGTAAATAAATATGGTTTAATATACTAAACACGGTTTGTTGTCTGTCTAGCCGCGCTCGCGTGTGTACGCCACGCGCGATTGAATCACCCGCGTAAAGGAAAAACACAGTGATATACAAGGCCCTTGTGGCCCCTGTGGCCCCTGTGGCCCGTTCTCAATAGTCATAAACTTCGTGTCATTAGCGGTTTTACTCAGTTGGTATCGAACCTTCGTACCGTGAACATCATGGGTAAGCGTGTATGTCGTCATTGCCCAATACCGCGATGTCACTCTAAATTTTTAGTTCGATTAGCAAACCATTTGGCTCAGGTACTCGAGCTGTCTGACTTAGAGAGAAAATATTGGCTCCAGTTTGCTAAATTACAAAATACCAACATGGTTCGAGTTTATGATAAAGATACTCCGCCAAATACCATTTCGATATAAATAAGAGCAAACGCAGTTGAACCAGTCAGTTATCAACATGGACCCAAGGTGGAAACACCCCTTTCCTGCTATTGTAGCTGGCCCCACTTGTTGTGGAAAAAGTCATTTTGTCAAACACCTGTTGGAATCTGGAGAAGAATTAATAGACGGAGAACCTGAAAATATCATTTGGTGTTATGGAATATACCAACCGGCTTATGATGAAATGCTAAGGACTATTCCCAACATCACGTTCGTCGAAGGAGTTCCTGGTGATTTAGAATCTATGATAAACCCAACCATTCGGAATTTAGTGGTCATTGACGATTTAATGCAGGATCTTAGCAATGATCAAAGAATTACCAATTTGTTTACTAAGGGCTGTCATCACCGAAATTTAAGCGTCATTTTCATTCTTCAAAATATTTTTCACCGGGGAAAAGCACTGCGAGACATGAGTTTGAATTGCCATTATTTGGTGATGTTCAAGTCTCCGCGAGATAGCAGTCAAGTCAGTCACTTGGCGAAACAGATGTTTCCCGGTCATGTCAAATACATGCAAGAAGCGTTTCAGGATGCGACAAAACGCCCTTATGGCTACCTGTTATGCGACCTCAAACCCGAAACACCTACCGACTTCCGGTTGCGCACAAACATTTTCCCTGGGGAGACTCAGCTCGCCTATGTCAGAAAGGTATAAAAAAGCTCCGTCGTAGTGATTGATATCAGTTGAGTATGGTCCAGCGACTAAGAAAGAACCACGATTTTCTTAAGCTCCTCGTCAAGTGTACCCCAGCTCAACGTAAAGCAATTTTGAAAGCAGCCGACGACGCTTTAGTAAAAACCATTTGTGAGTGTGTATTCAACGTACTTAAAGAAACAGTCCCTGTCAGGAAACCGGCGAAGAGAAAACTTCTTAAGCACAAGAAAGCCTTGACTGCTCTAGCTGAAAAGAGTACCCCGCTAAACAAGAAAAAGCAAATCTTGATACAACACGGAGGAAACTTTTTAAGTGTTTTGCTACCTCCCGTTCTTCGAGTGTTGAGCTCGCTTCTTAGTTAAGATGAATCATACAAGACGCATGGTTCTCGTTCCTGAAAACACTCTGGAACGATTGCAGCAACGCCAGCAGATATTAACACCACCTGTAACACAAACTCTGAAAAATCTGGATAGCCAAATGGGGGATATTTTAGAAAGTAAACAACTTGGTGATGAGGAAAAGGCGAAGCTTTACAATCAGGTGTTGCAACGGTACTTGACTTATTACGATCAGCGGAAAGGCCAACCTCTCCATGTGAAGTTAACGGCCCCTAAAACTACAGAAACCCCCAAACCAGCTGAGAACGCAGAATCTACAGAGGAAGCTTCTCCAGATAATTCTCTTCCAACAGCAGTAGAGGAAGAGGTCATGAAAAGTGTACCCAGAATTTACAAAGCTGGGGCTAGACAGTTGTTGGATAAAATTAAAAAACACCAGGATGTGTTGCACTGGAATGATAAAGGAGAGCTGTTGTATGAAAACAAACCAATCCCAGGTTCTCATGTGGTCGACCTAGTCAACGACACATTGCGTCACCGAAAAGGATTTGAACCAGTGGGATGGTCCGTGTTTGCGAGGGGCCTGGCGCGAATGAATGTCCCCGAAAACTTGGTTTGTAATCCCCAACGTCAGAGTGCCATAAGAGAGTTAAAGCAAGAGTGAGAGAGGAGACCCCAGAAAGTCCTTCGCGTTGGCTACCCACCCCACCTGTGACGTTGTCTTCTGTCAAAAAGCAGAGGCGCAGAGTCGAGAGTCCTCGCCCTCAGGCTGTTCGATGGTTACGATTATAAATCATGACAAGAGACTTTTTTTATTGTGAAACACAAAACTTTATTTTGTAATTCAATAAAATGTGTTGAAAAGAAATTACATGGTGTCTGTTTACTGAACTTAGTGTCGTGCTTTTGCTCTTTGCTTGTTTACATCAGTACGATATTTCGGAAAACCTATAGGAAAATGTTTTTCAATAAATCGTTTTACGAGACTATCATTTTTACTTGTGTTTTTAGAAAAACGATGGACAATAGCACTCATACTTATATGCCGACTACGATATAAAGCAAAATACAAACAGTAATGTCCGCAGACTTTTGAATAGATGCTTTGTAATGTCACAGTATTAAAAGTCCACTGGTTAGAATTGTTGTTTAAAAAGGCAGTAAATGTTCCTAAATATTTGCTGGGTGGTGATCCGTAAGAATTGAAAAATGCTCCCTCTTGCTCCTTGGTGAAATAAAACGCCACCCAATGCGAACCTGGCTTGTCACTCGTATCCACATTGGCGATAAACAGGGCTGGGTAATGTGAAACACTTGCAGGCAGCTGGTCTGAGGGATACACGCCTTGAAACAAACCTCGTGTAAATTTATCCTTTCTCAAAATAAGGGTCAGTTGAATAGTGTCCATTTTTAGTTTGTGTAGTCGAGCAACACGTTGCGGTTCCCGTCAATTTCAATCACGTTTTGGAATTCAGCGTACACGATAAGGTTAACCGTATTGGCCAGTGGTTCCTTGAAATGAAGCTCAGCGCGCAGGTTACCTTGCTTTATTAGCTCAAAATGGTCACCTGAGCAGTGGTCTGGGACAAGTCAAAGCAGAATGCTGTGTAACCAGATCCATAATCGCTTCTACTGATTTGCTTACCCGCATCTTGGGATAGCTTTCCAGTGCCTGAGAACAGGCTTTGATAGCCCGCTATTACATTTTGACCTCTAGCTTCGTCAAAATTCAAGAACAGGGGTTTCCGAGGAATTTGCTCTCCGTCCACATAGACACCCACTTGAGTTAGATTGTGGTGTTTGAAGTTGAACGTGTTGGTACTGTAAGTTCCATTATATGCCTGAGTATCCACTAAGACCAGCACGATTCGTTTAGGAATGTGACCCAAAAAGATGTTGTCGGGGTTAAAACTGCTAAATCCTCTTGGAATAGACAGCACTTTACAATCGATTCGGCGAACCGGGTACTTGGCGCTGGAGTGTTTTAGGGCAGCCGCATGGCCAAGTATAATAGAGGAGGCCAATTTCACCCGGCGAACGAACAAGATGGCTTCTGTGATTACCACCTTGAAAGTTGGAGCGGCTGCTGATGACATTAGACAAAACGAGTTCTTGGCTCGGTTCTGTTTGATTCTTAAATTCACTCCATTTAGCATCAACCGGTCTTGAAAGAAAATGTCGCTATGAATGGGCCCCATCACATCCACAATATGACTTTCTTTAGTGAAATCATAGCGAACCTTTGACCCCTTGTTTGCAGCATCGTCTGCAGCCACAGGGTTGGCAACATCCATTTTTCCAGGGGTATCTTTGTAAAACATGGCCATAGAACGTTGACTTGTTTTTGCTTCTTCTCCGCAGTTTAGCAAGGTTTCGATCATGGCGCGATAAGGGTAGGTTTTGGTGGATGGAGAGGTCAATCGCTCGTTCAAGGAAACGTCCACTTGGAAAACAGGGAATGTAAAAACAGGTTCACGGGACCTACTTGTGTATCGGCGTCTATGGCGGTTCCATTCGCTTTTGTGATCTTGGCTTTAACAAATAACTGAGTGCGTGCCAAGTCCAAATACTCATCTCCGGTTCCCGAAACATAAAATTCGATCGGACCACTGTCCGTGATGTTACTGATGGGGTGGTACTCGATCCATTGCCCTTTGGAGATAGAGGTTTGTGTTGTAGGAATCGTAAAGAGATCCAACTCTGATTTCGTACATTCCTGAGACTCATGATGCACAAAGGCCATAGTTACTTCCAGAAAGAAAATTTCTCTTTGGGCTTCTTTGGCTGCGGAGATGTTTTTGCTTTCTTGCCTTGAGGCGAACTGATTTTGGTTCCTTGCCCTTTTCTTTTTATAGCTTTTTTTGCCAGCTCCTGATTGTGCCTGCAATGAATTCTGAGAAGGTAGACCGAGGGCTTGTTTCGTGCGCTTATGGACTGCTGTTTTAATGTTATCTCCATCAAGAACATCTTGGACGACATTGACACCTGTTTGTAAAGCCTTTTTTCCAATCACCTTAGCACCCTGTTGAAGGTGAGGCATCGCCCAGCGAAACAGACCTCTGAATATGGACCCTAGTCCATAACCATGCTGAAATCGAGCACCGTGAAACGCTGGTAAACTCCCACCTTTTTGTTTGGCTTGATTAACATAGTACTGTTCGTACAACTTGTGATTTGGAGTGTGGGGTTTTTTCATCTTTAAAAGTACTGAGGTGCACTTTGACGAAAATGAAGTGTTAACAACACTCTCCCAAACTCAAATGGTACAGACTCCCCTGTATCTGTCTTTATATTGACTTCGACAGTTTCAAATTGCTTTCTGCTGACAGGTAAATATTGGGGGCGCAAAAATGATTTACTGACTCGCTACCCAACCTTTCCTTCTACAGGAACAATTCGAAGCAAAGGTACCAATGCATCTCCAACATATTGTGACTGAATAAGATCGCAGTAAATGAAAAGGTCGTGAAAGCCGTATTCCAAATCCACTTGTCTTTCAGCGGTAGAGGTATTAGAAATAATTTCGTCTGGTGAAAATCCCAGCAGGTATCCAATGTTACCAAAGAAAAGTTCTACGCTATTTTGTAGGTGAACAGTCACCTTTCTAGTGAACGCATCGTAGGAACATGTCACGTCGTCATTGAAACGCTTTACATTCTCGATCAGCTCTTTCATCTTTGATAAGATATCTCCAATGGAAGAATAATGACCTGGTGGTACAATTAGGGCTTCCCATACTCCGGACAATTATTGGTTCCGAAGGTAGAATCGATTACCAAAATTTTCTTGGACATTATTCCAGCTGTGAGGATAGTGAATTTCCGTTAACGCTACTTCCCAGTCCCCCGTCAAGCTAACGGTCTGAGGTAAACCAACTTGGTACTCAGTTAATGTGTTGCTGGGAAACTTATCGAGGCTGCTATTGCTAGGGAGATGCAGATAAAACTGTTTTACCTCCATCGTACCCTGTGTTGAAATGAACTTTTTAATCTGGGTATTCTTAATTTATTAATTAGAAACCACATACCATTCATTTTATTATTTCATTTTCTTTTATTCACTACACAAAAAATGCATAAATTACAATTTCAAAATATCTCTTTCTTGAACCCAAGAATCAAATTTTGGATCTTTGTATCCTTTCCATCTCACCAGATACTCTACTACGCCTTTACGCTTTCTCTTCCGCAAAATCTTCTCGACGCGGTACACATCATCTTTCTTAATAATTTTCTGTAATTCGGGTTCATAAAATGTTCCATCTAAGATTTCACCTGCATCATCTTTTAGTTTATAAACGGGTACTTGACGAGCCATTCGCTTGTAAACAGTAAAATTTCTTCCGTAAAATTAGGTAAGTAAGATTTTTCAAACATTCTCTTCACTTTGCTAATCCTGACGCGATCTCCCACTTGAAATTTATATCGCACAGGCTTTTGAACATCATCCCCATACAAAGTATCCCACACTTTAGCTACATTCGCTTTAGTCACCTGACTCGGTTTCATTTTAATACTTCGGTGGTAAGTGTTATTGTAAGAAGACACTAACTGGGGTAATACATTGATATAGGTGAGAGTGTTTTTGGCCGTGAAATATTTGTACATCCTATTCTTAAATGTTCGGTTAAAACGCTCAACCACTGAGGCTTTGAGCCCAGAGTTAACAGTGAAAAAGGCAATTTTGTTGTCACGCAGAAATTTCTGGAACACGAGATTCTTGAACTCTGTTCCTTGATCTGTTTGCAGTTTGATGGGTTTGCGACCAGTAGAAAGGATCTTTTGAAAGGCTTTGACCAGTTCCTGACCTTGTTTTGTCTTCAACGGTAACACAAACGTGTACTTGCTGAAGATATCTATACAAGTCAGTAAGTATTTATAGCCCTTGTTGTAGCGACTGAGATTTTGGAGGTCGACCAAATCCGCTTGAAATTGCTCATCTATTCCAAAAACGATGACTCGACTTCTCTTGTTGCGTCTTCGCGCGGGTTTGTGAAGAGTATAAACATCTTGCTGACTCAACCAATCTCGGACTTGTTTACGCGATATCTTGTTCTTTCCTTTCTCTTTGACTGCTCTGTAAACAGCATCTAAACCACCGAAACTTGCGGGTTGACTTGGGTTGAGGTAGATGTTGGCTAGTTTTTTCTCCATCACAAAATTCCGAGTTTTGTACAACCACTTTACCACCGCAGCAAGCTAATACACAACGTATGCGACTGAAAATGTGTCCAAAACCAAAAGTGGATGATGGCGGACAGCAACCCATCACTAGTGTTTACCTGAACGGTAAAAGATGTAATGACTTCTCTCTCTTTGGTGCTCCTTTATATAGCTACTGTCGAATCTGGGTGAGAGTGGGAACAAGAAGGTGAAATAGTAGTTCCCATTCCTCCTCGGTTAATTCTAGCTGATCCGCTAAGTTCAATCACCAATCGTCCCCAGTTTACTTTTGAAAAGACCTCAGAGTGAAGTTTTTTCAACCTTTCTAGACTCGAACCCGGCAGATCTTTAAATTTTTGTTGAAGCATTTCCATTTCACTTGAAGACACTTTCAATGTTTTACCTTGTGCGCGATACAGAGAAAAGTCGATCCGAAGCAAAGACAGAGAAAGCCCCATCTTGACTAAGACAGAGACAAACACACACTGACTCACAATTTAGTCATGAAGAAATTTTATTACTTTTAGAAACAAAGCTTATTTTGAATGTCATTAATTATCATGTCAAGGTCCATTGGTTGACACGAAGTTTATGACTATTGAGAACGGGCCACAGGGGCCACAAGGGCCTTTTATATCACTGTGTTTTTCCTTTACGCGGGTGATTCAATCGCGCATGGCGCACACACGCGCGCGCGGCTAGACAGACAACAAACCGTGTTTAGTGTATTAAACCATATTTATTTACCAACTATGAACAAATGACATTTTTTTACACATAAAGGAAAACTCTTTATATACAATGCGATCCAGAGAAAAGTCGACCCGAAGCAAAGACAGAGAAAGCCCCATCTTGACAAAGACAGAGACAAACACACACCGACTCAAAATTTTAGTCGTCATAAAGAAATTTTATTGCTTTTAGAAACAAAGCTTATTTTGAATGTCATTAATTATCATGTCAAGGTCCATTGGTGTTCTTCTTTTCTCACGACTCTATCAAGGCATTCTATTGTTTCTTGTTGATCACTGAAATCTTTCCATTTGAGCCCATTTGGTCGGTAGTATAGAGCGTATAAAATACGGCTTTGAAGATCATCACTCTGCTAGACAACATCAAGTTCCAGAGAAGCGAGGTAAATACTGGTCCACGACAATATTTGGCAGCACGCTTCCCATGATTTATCTAGTTTGAAGCCGAGAGCACTGCATATACTTTCGGTAGCGTTCAACATATAATTCAGGTCCATTTTTTTCCACCACTTGATCGTGGTAATACTTCCATGCGTCATCATTATCCATCATGAGGCAAGAATGTTGGTTTTGACTTGGGTGTTGAATAGCACAACCGTCGCAGTGATTCAGCTTTTCTTGTTGGATGAGTTTGTCAACCAAAGCCGCATAAGTCAGTTAGAATACATGTCCAATAAAACTGGCTATCCTTTGACCCTGGACAATGTTCCAAAGAATATTGTTGAGAGTTAAGACTTTTTTCCGAGCAAACTGAACTTTAAAGAATGAAATCATGATTGAACGGAGAGCGCGTTTGTCTGTTGAACACATAATAGATTGTTCACTATCCAATCAGGATTAAAAGAGCCCTCTTCTTCTGAATCGTCTTGTTGTTTTTGCCACAGGTATTTCATAGGTTTGTCGATAGACAGAGAATTACAATTTTGCAAAGAAATACAACATGTTCTAGATGATTGTGAAACAACATTCCTTGACTTTTTTCGAAGTGGGAACTCAATGTCTTAATCGCTCATTTTTAAAAAAAGACAAAAGCTAAACGGCTAATTCTTAATTGCATTTTTTTTTACACAATACCTGGTCTTAAGTTGAAGATTTTTGCATAATCAACCCGCAGCGTGTTTGTCCAAAGACAAGTATGGCTGAGAAATAATTCTCTTATGGTGGTCCGTTTTCCAACAAACTACAGCTACAACGGATTGCATTTCAAAAAGTATGGTGTGAGGAAATGACGGAGGAACAGATTATGAACCCCACGTTGATCAGCAGAATTGTCATTATTGGTGTACGCAATATCTACGATTATCCTGGTGCCTTATTGGAAATGAACGATTTGTTCAAGCGAAGATTACAACAAAGTGTGTTATTTGTATCATCTGAAAAAGGACCTACCTACCAACAAGACCTAACTTACAGAGACAATTTGGTAGACTACACATTAAGTGATGATGTAACCATTAGCCATTTGTTTAGTCATTATTATTATTTCTTGTGTACAATGATATACTCTTTGAGGTGAATAAAATAATTGCGATGAAATACTGTGTTGTGTAAATTTCTTTGCCCCTGCAAAATCGGGTCCGTTTCTGGACCTTGTAAAATTCTTTGTACAGCATACCATCGCGTGCAAACAACACTCGTTTATCTTGCTTTTTTTTCCAATCGCCGTAAATGCCAAAACCATTCGGTTCGGTTAAGTTCTTGTTTACTTCAAAGAGGTCTTTCTGCCTTTGTGTTGTTAAGGCAGCAAATCGTTCAATATTTGATGCGTTCATGGCAAAGGGAGCCATTTTCTTGCATAATAAAACATCTTTCAGGGGCACCCAACGAGAAGATAGTTCAAAACCACTTAAACATAGCATTGTTAAACGCATTTTAGTATTTAAACGGTAGATATAGGCATATTTTTATCCCCTAGAAATTTTTCATCTGTTCGGATTTCCTAGCTGAAAGTCTAGTGATCCGAAAATTATAGGGATCAAAACTTACCTTTTCGAAAATTTCAGCCACAAAAAAGGTTCACGACAATTCTAGGTGACCTTTTAAGAGTAAAAATCCGTTAGAAATGGGCAATTATGCCATTTTTTAGATGTTCGAAAATCCTAGCAGAGGCAGGCAAGCAAAAAATTTTACAACAAATGTTCCGAAAATTCTAGATCGCAAATCGTCTTCCGAACACATATTTTCCGAAAATTGTCGTTGGGTGCCCCTGATCTTTTAGCGCGAAGTTGAATATGGCACGAAAATTATAACATGTGCTTTTGATGACTATTACATGAAGGGGGTATTTCTGATGCTGCTCTGCGATTGGTTCAAAGTACTGAATACGAATGAGCTCCATTGTTCCAATTGTTCTCTAAAACTCAAACAAAAGAATACTGCTCTGTGATTGGTTACTTGCCATATCAACCCCCTTTACTACTCATGAAGCTATGCATATCTCCTTTTCAAAATCAAGGAGAGACATGGCCTGCATAGAGATGACGGCCTGGGAATCCCCCCGTCACAAGTGGAACGTATCAAGAAAGATCTCTGCAGCATCTTCAGTGAACATAGCTTAAAGATCACCACAAAAAATATCGTAAACTTCCTTAATGTGACCCTCGATTTGACCAATGGCAAATACGTGCCATACACGAAAGCAAACATCCCACTTTACCTTCACAAAAGATCCAACCATCCACCACGAAGTACTGACAACATTTCACAATCGTTCAACAAACGCCTCTCCGGGATTTCATACCGTGAAGATCATTCATCAAAGCCATATCTGTCTATCAAAAAGCCCTTGATGACACCGGATATAAACACCGACTCAACCTTTCAGCCCAACCTACAACGGTAACAGCACAACCTGCAAGCCCTACAGAAGAGAGGCGAATTTTTTGGTACAACTCCCCCCCCCCCCATAGCAAAAATGTAGCCACGAACGTTGAACGAAATGTCCTCAAAATATTTGATGAAGAATTCCCAAAGAACATTCCAATAAATCAAATATTTACTAGAAACACAGTTAAAATCAGTTACAGTTGTATGTCAAACATCAAACAAAACATCGACCGCCAAAACAAATCCACTATACAATACAGTCACGCATGAGTATGAAGTCAAAAATTCTGCAACTGCAGAAAACCCTCTGACTGCCCCAAGAATGGCTATTGCCTCAGGAAATCCACTGTATATCAAGCGACCGTAACTACAGAAGACAACAAACCTAAGGAGACTTTCTGAAAACACTTTTAAGACCTACTTCGCGAACCATAAAGCATCATTTAACAACCTTAGCAAAAGAATGAGCACCGAACTA